TATACAAGTCAACAATAAGGAAGTCAACACGAGTCCAATAGTCCCAAATAAAGGTAAGTCAACTAAGATATAGGTTATCTAAACTTCTTTTAAGGTTGATCAATTTACGAAAGATATTCAACTTTTCAAATAATGGTAGGCAGTAGAAGATAATCATAACTCCAATTAAGACTAAACAATTATAGGATGAGATAGTAATAATTTCAATTAAAGATAAACAATTGTGAAAAGATAGCATGACGATAGAAGAGGCAAAATCTTCAGTTAAGTCAATTAAGAGTCAAATAGGCAATGAGAGTGAATCCTAAGCCAATTAATTCTAATTGAAGCATGTAGAAGTGAAACCAGCAAATAGGAACTCAAACGTATCACGAACAACTTCATACACAATGAATATAAGGATCTAAGAACCCTAAAGGCCAACTTCCACAAATAAGTCCGAGCACGCACTCGTTACCTCCCACACATGGTTAGGCAAGACACTTACCTCAAAGACGACAAACCGATACTCTAAAATGCACTTCTCGGGTGAAAAGACCTCCGGACGGCTCAAATCTAACCAAATTAACTTGAAAGCACAAATAAAACTCAGAAGAAACTATTTCGGATCACAAAGTCTCAATCTCTAACAAAATCCAAAAATCAGTCCAAAAGTCGACCCCCCGGGCCCGCACCTCGGAACCCGACAAATTTTACAAAAACCGAATACTCATTCCGATAGAAGTTCAACCATACAAAATTTATCAAATTCCGATACCATTTGTTCCGTCAAATCATGATTTTTCACTTTGAAAACTTTCTTCAAAAATCAACCATTTTCTCAACTCAAAATGCAAATCAAATGATAGAAATGAAGATAAAATCATGGATTATATTAGATACTAGGTGAGGAACACTTACCCAATCGATTTTTTTGAAAAACCTAGAAAGAATCTCTCAAAATCTTAGTCCAAAACTCAAAATATTATGAAAATGGCCAAACCCTCGATTTAAATGATTCTGCCAGGACTTCTGCATCTGCGGACAAGAAAATGCATCTGCGAGACCGCATTTGCGAGAAAGGGTCTGCATCTGCGAACTCAGCTCACCAGGCCAGGGACGGCATCTGCGGATATGCGGCCGCATCAGCGGCACCGCAGAAGCGAAAAGGGAAATCGCAGGAGCGAGATTTCTCCGCAGGTGCGATCGCTGGACCGCAGAAGCGGCCTTCGCACCTGCGTGCCAGCCTCCGCAGAAGCGAGCAAGCTCCCAGGCCTTCATGACCGCAGAAGCGGCCAGGCTCACGCAGAAGCGGAGCCGCACCTGTGCTCCATGGTCGCAGGTGCGAAAACACCAGAACCAGACCTGTTCAAAACCATACAAAACATCCGAAACTCATCCGACATACACCCGAGGCCCCCGGGACCCCGTCTAAACACACAAATAAGCTCTATAACCTAACACGGACTCGCTTGAGGTATCGAATCACATCAAACAACGCCGGAAAAGCAAATCGCGCCATGAATCGAGCTTATGAACTTCCAAATCTTCCAACTTCTAGAACTCGCGCCGAAACCTATCAAATCAACCCGGAATGACGCCAAACTTTGCAGACAAGTCCAAAATGACATAACGGAACTGCTACAACTCTTAGAATCGCATTCCGACCCCGATATCACAAAAGTCGACTATGGGTCAAACTTCTCCATTTTCCAAACTTCAATTTTTCCAACTTTCGCCGAAATGCCTCAAATTACCCTACGGACCTCCAAATCCGAATCTTGACGCACACCTAAGTCTAAAATCACCATACAAAGCTATTGAGATCATCCAAAATTCATTTCGGAGTCGTTTACACAAAAGTCAAATTCCGGTCAAATTCTCACCGCTTAAACTTCCAAAACTAGATTCTTCCTTCCAATTCAACTCCGAATCATCCGGTAACTGAATTCAACCTTGCACGCAAGTCGATACACATAATATGAAGTTATTCAGGATCTTACACCATCGAACGAAGCTTAACGACCGGTCGAGTCGTTACAATTAGTCCATTGACTAGGATCATATATGTTTTTAGGAGTGCAAGAATTCAATTCATTTAAAAGTTCTTGATTTTTTTGAGGATCTATGTCAGATTTCTCACTAGCTTCTTCTTTTTCTTGGATTTTATTATCATCTAACTCAACTAGATTAGTAACTTGTTCATTCAAAGAGCATTCTCCCATGTTTTCTAGTTTAGAATTTTTATTACTTGATAAAAATTTATCGAGCGCTCCTTTTTGGGATTGTATTAAAGTTTCAATTCTTCTCTTTTTTTGAAGTTTTGCATAACCGAATTCATATTTTCTAGTAGACATATTTAAAAAATGACATAATTTAGATTAAAAAAATAACAAAAGGTTAGAACAATAGAACCTGATTCAATTGATAAGTTGATCCCCAAATAACTTTTTAATGCTTTTGTGCTTGAAAACCTGGAAAAAAATACACAATTTCGTATATTCAGTCCTCTTCAATCGAAAAAATATACAATTCTATATAGACAATACTCTTCGACCGGCTCTTGCCATCAAAGCAGATTTCTAAACGGAATTAAAATTTCAACTCTAAATTATAATAAGCAAGAGAAAAATTCCATTGTGAATAGGAGTCTTATGAGATTGCAGTCATATCATACTGTAAAATATTAAGTAATAAAAAATCAATACATATTATAAAATTTTATTTTTTTTCAATCCTCTCATAATTGACTAATGACCACCAAAATCTGTCCCAAGTACAATATGTAGGGAAAAAGATGATTGAAAAGAAAGAAAAAAGGTTATAGTTACCAACTTTATATTGTATTCCACAAAAAAATCATCACAAGAGTCTTGTAGTTCTTTTGACAGGAAGGGGTAAGAATTATCATAAAGCTTTTTAGAAGTTAACGTAGAAAAGAAGCAGGCGAGTAAGATTTCAACTTTGTAGTTGTGAATAAATATGAAAGAAAAAAAAGTCAATCCAAAAAGGCAAAACGGTAAAAGTAACGATTCATATCTCCAATATGCAATAATGGTGAATGTAAACGTTCATTTTCCTTTTCCAGGGCAAAATTAGAGTTTTTCCCATTAAATACTTAAATTTTCTAAAAGGAAAATAAATACATAAACGTAAAACTACTAAAAAGTGGGGCCTTTAAATTTATGAGGCCTAAAGCCCTTGCCCTACCTGCCTTGGGCTTCAGCCGCCTCTGCTAACCGATACATTTGATAGATTATAAGGTTTACAGTCTAGTGGTATTAACGAGACTCTCCCACGTATAAGAAAAGATTCAATTCTCACAATTATTCTATCCCTTTCTCCTTCCTTACTCCACCCATATAATAAAAATAGTTTAAAAGAACATTAAATGAATAACAAAACGTTGGTTAATTGGATAAATCCTTATTCAGTTGAGTCCCCATTTCATAAAAAGTCATTGTTTAATGACATTTCTGCCGTGAGCTCCTCCATTTTGCCATAACACACTTTTTCAGTTGAAGGTTCAAATTTACCCTTGGTGTATTCGGTTTATTTTATATTTGTCCTATGTATTTACCTTTCAATCCATCAAAGTTCTGCATCGTTAATTCCGTCTCTTATTTGCCCCTCGCTTTAACAGTTGTCTAGCTTGACTCGAAACGTTAGTCGGAGCCACTTAGACCAACAAAAGATTTAAATTTACCTCTAAACTATCAAAGTAGTTTGTATATATCCTATGCAATAATAAAAATATGTTCTTTAACAATTGAAAAAATCCAAATATATTCATGTACAATTTAAAATATTCAAAATTATCCCTATGTGGCTTGACCAATGGAAAACAATTAGTGAAAACCTATTAGTAGGACGGATATATTTGTGACGAAAGATAACAGTGGAACTTCTATGAGTGAAAAAGCAAAAGAAGTATATATGTAAAAGAAATCGCAAACGTTAGGTGTATATTTGGACATTTTCTCTACCAAATATGAATTTATGATTGACTCATTATCTGGGGTTGATGGATTCGGAAAAAGAAAAATATGGGTTGGGTCTGAAAAACAAGTTGTGTCAAACCAGCCAGGCTTTTGATTTACAAATTCGTTTGACCAAGTCCACATGAATGTTAGGCCCATTAGAAAAGAAGTTCTGAAAAGAAATTCCAAAAACTGAAAACAGAGATTCAATTTAGATAGAATGACATCAGGTAGCCACTTTAAAGGGCAGATATTAAAAAATCTGAATTTCAGTTTTTTCAGTTCAAACTTTTAGGACAAGTATATCGTGAATTGTCTTGAAGTTAAAATTTTTAGTTTAAAATTTCATAACAAAATAAGTACCGGTTAATTTCTAAATAGCATTCTTAAGAATGGCTATCTGTGCACTTATCCCTGCTATCCAAGACATTTTTCTGAAGTTTCACTTGCGGCAATTCGATTATTGTAGTTTCGAACTCTAAGACACTTTCATGGAATTTCACTTGCTGTGTTTCGAACTCTAGGAAAATATTCTTGAAGTTCTTGTGACTATTTTCAACTACTTTCTCTCAAATTGTGACTATTTTTCAACTCTTTCATTATTTAGTGTTTTATTTTTACATTTCAATTAAATAGAATTGAAAATTTTAATTAAATTTCTGTCATTTAACAATATGTAAAATCAATTTTATCTATATTCATTAACAAAGTGATTTTTTATGTCATTTTTCATAATTTGACTCTCATATCACTTTTTGAAAATAGTTACCAAACAACAAATATTTTCCAAATAATGACAGAAGTGTTTCCCAAAAAATATTAGTAACAAATACAAGGTACTCCTCACTCAATGTGCTTATTTAAAAAATCCTTCTAATACAAATATATATTTTTCAAAATAAATAGGTAGAATCTTGGCCGAAAAGAATTCATAATTCCTTTTCCAACTATAAAAAGGTTTTGGAACTTTACCTTGGTTTTAAAAATTAAAACTAACGAAAAGGCTTTACTAATTCTTTTCAGATTAGGTATGATTTCCAACTTATATAAAGGTTTTGGAGCTTTACCTTGCTCTTAAAAACTTACAACGTATTTGGTTGCCCTTTTAGGCGAAAGTAACAGCAGTTAATTTTGAGAGGGAACGGACATAACAGTAAGAGAATGGACTCTTCCATTTCCACCGTGGAGGGCGGCGCGTCGCTTCCTTCGACGGGGACTGACGCGACAAAACGCCGTGTTTCTTATTTCTACGACCCTTATATCGGCGACTATTACTACGGCCTGGGCCACCCAATGAAGCCTCACCGTATTCGCATTACCCAAAACCTTGTTTGCCACTATAACCTTCATCGGCGAATGGAGATCACTCGCCCATTCCCGGCGAGTGCGGACGATATTCGTTGGTTCCACTCGCCGGACTACGTCGACTTTCTCTCTTCCGTTTCACCGGAGACTCTTTACTACCAGACACATGACGACCACGACCTTAAACGCTTCAACCTCAGAGAAGATTGCCCTGTTTTTGATGGACTTTTTGGTTTTTGTCAAGCTTCTGCCGGTGGTTCCATTGGCGCCGCCGTTAAGCTTAATAGACAAGATGCTGACATAGCTATCAATTGGGCTGGGGGATTGCACCATGCAAAGAGAACTGGGGCTTCCGGATTTTGCTATGTTAATGATATTGTTCTTGGAATTCTTGAACTTCTCAAGGTCCACAAGGTAAATATACATCTCCTTATGCTCTGTTTTTCTTGTTTTATTTATTTCTTTGCTCTCACGAAAGTAAACTCTTTTTATGGTCTTGTTTGTAGTGGTGCACTGTGGTATATGAAAGGACAAACACTTTTTCCTAATTTGTACTTATGAATTTAATGTGACACGCCATGTTTATGTTGAATATATTGACTACATACTGTATGCTAGGCACTTTTATAGACACTAAATCAAGATAGTTTGCTCTAGGGGGTGAGGCCTTTATTTATTCGTATTGTTGTTGAGACTGACTTGGACTGGCTTTGATGAATATTAAGAGAAGAAATTTTGAATGTGCTTCTTCTTTTGAGTTTGTAAGGGGGATATGTTAATAATAAGTCTTGCAGATGTTTAAAAGTATTAAAGATAGTATTAAATTCAGTATAATATTACAGATTGTTTTGTCTTGTTGTCTGTGAAGAAGTACCTTCTCTGATAATTTTGGTGATTACCATTAAAAATAAGAGGTCTTTATGTAGGTCACACTTTAATCGGATGGATCGAGTAATTTGGAGGCCAAAATAATATCCGATATACAACAACAACAACGACCCAGTATAGTCCCACAAGTGGGGTCTGGGGAGGGTAGTGTGTACGCAGACCTTATACATGGTTTCTAAAATAATATCCGATATATTTTTCTAAAATTGAAACTTAATTGATCACTCATTTTCTGTAGCTATTGAGGAATTTTATAGAACTCCAATAAATGTTGTGTCAATTGTTGATAAGCATTGCTTGTAGGCCATATAGCATAGTTTGCTTCAATTGTCTCTTTTGCCATAAGCACACTTTAACATTCTCAATGTTGTTGTGTGCAGCGTGTGTTGTATATAGATATCGATGTTCACCACGGAGACGGAGTTGAGGAGGCTTTTTATACCACGGATCGGATTATGACAGTGTCTTTTCATAAGTTTGGGGACTTCTTTCCTGGTACAGGACATATAAAAGACATTGGTGCAGGTTCTGGGAAGTACTATGCCTTAAACGCTCCTTTGAATGATGGGATTGATGATGAAAGTTTTCGTCGTCTATTCCGTCCCATAATCCAAAAAGTAATGGAGGTCTACCAACCTGAAGCTGTGGTTCTTCAATGTGGTGCTGATTCACTATCTGGAGACAGGTTGGGCCTTTTCAACTTGTCTGTCAAAGGCCATGCCGATTGCCTTCGATTCCTCAGGTCTTTCAATGTTCCTCTAATGGTATTGGGTGGTGGAGGTTATACAATTCGGAATGTTGCCCGCTGCTGGGCCTATGAGGTCTGTCTCTATCACTATATTTTGATGTTTTTTCCTGCTTTTGGATTTTCACCTATTATTGTTACTTGAGATGTAAGTTGCACTAAGATTGAACTTCTTTAATGTTTACAGACAGCAGTTGCAGTTGGAGTAGAGCTTGAGAATAAATTGCCTTACAATGACTATTATGAGTATTTCGGCCCAGATTATACTCTTCATGTTGAACCAATACCCATGGAGAATAAGAATTTGCCCCGGGATTTGGAGAAGATCAGGTAATTTGAATATCATTCTTTAGGGCTTTGTGTCTTTTAAACTGTCTGAAAATACAATTAAATATATGTTTGAAGCTGTATAGGGTAGGCTATTTTCCTTGTTCAATCTTTGTGAAGCATCAGCCAGTGTGAGATCATGAACAAATCTTTGTTAAGTTGCAACCAAACTGTAGAAATAATTTGGAGATATAGAGAAACCTCTGGTGGTAGAAAATCTCTAATTTGTCTTACAAGATTACTTATTAAGTAAAGGTCCAGCCAAGTAGAGTGCAAGTGAGACAAAGGATTTATATTAACTTGAACTGGTTTGGAATTGAGTTGTTATTGTTATTGTATAAAATGTTAGCGTAGATATATATAGAAAAGTTCCTGTCTTCCTTTTACAGCTATGTTGAACTGGTTTAATTTCAAATAAGCATTTGCATCCCTCAGTGTCACACAATTTAACTCGACTAGAGGAATATCGCTAGATTCTGTTTAACTTTTGTTCATGATGTTCAACTCTTTGCTTTTCTGTTGTGTTGTTTGGACATGGTATGCAGAGATTCCCCTTTTCTTTTATCAATGTAGAATTTCTGCGTTTTCCTCCTCGTGCCAATTTTCTTTCTTGTTTAATTTAAGATGATGGTATTTGACATAAATGGTTGGTGGGTGCAGGAACATGTTGCTGGAGCAACTTTCGCGATTACCCCATGCACCTAGTGTGCCATTCCAAATGGCACCTTCTATTACAGAAGTTCCTGAAGAGGTTAGCTCTAGTTCATCTTCAATATCATTTGATTTTCTATATATGTTACCCGACCTGATCCCACTTGTGGGATTCCACTGCGTTGTTGTTGTTACCCTACCTGATCCCCGTTTAACTACTTGTGTATGCAGAGAGAGGAAGACATGGATCAAAGGCCAAAACCACGGATATGGATTAAAGAGGAATATGAGTCTTATTGCTGATTAAGATATGTGTACCTTTGAAGTAGTGTGTTCAGTTTCACCAGAATATTTATCTTTGATGTTCAATAGATTCTTGTATCATACATTTGAAGTAGTTTCTTCATCAGTTTCACTAGAGTATTTGATGTTCAATAGACATATTCTTTCTACATAATCGTTTAGTTGTATCATACATGCATGCACACATTTTCTTTGCTATGGTCAATTTTTGCATAAACAAAAAGGAAGAGAACAACTCCTAATATTCTGATAAGTACAAATTTTAAGTCAAATGGTCAACAGTACAATGATGGGTCAATATGACATTTCGAAATTTGGATGCAGAATTTGTGTTTGAGTGGAAGTTAGAGGGGCAAAGTGATTCTAACAAGTGAAAAATGGGATTCTCCCTTCTGCATTTGTAGTGGTGCACTGTGGTATATGAAAGGACAAAAATGTAGTGTAAATTTTTATTAATATCTAAGATTTAATATTAATTAAAATTTTGCTTATTAAATCTCTTCTTATTTGAGGGTAAATTTTAAAAATAGATTTACAACTGGTCATTCAAAAATAGCCCAATTTCAAAAGTAATCGAAATTTAGCCACTTCTGAGCGAAAACACTGTTCAAAACCCAGAAAATACTCCAGTATATCATGCTGGAGTTCCAGCATAGGTATACTTGAACTCCAGCATATTATACTGGAGTTCCAGAATAAGTATGCTAAGTACACTAGAACTCCAGCATAATATACTGGAGTTCCAGCAAGTATATTGGTCCAGTATAATATACTGGAGTTTGGAGCACCGGTGCTCCAGTCTCCAGTATATTATACTGGAGCCAGCAAAGTATACCGGTCCAGCATAATATGCTGGAGTTCATACACAAGTGCACCGAACTCCAGTATATTATGCTGGACCGGTCTCTATTGCAGCAAAATAGTGGCTATTTTTCATTGACTTGGTAAACGCTGGCTATTTTTGATTGACCAGTCCGAAAACTGGCTATACCGTGAAATTTAAACCTTATTTGACTTATGTAGGAAATTCAAATATTTAGGACCTTTAAAATGGATTATATATTAAAAATAATATCCAAATTAATATGTATACACACACTTAGTGATTTCAATAACTTTTATTCGTCCTATTAAGTTTTATGTATTAGTAATATTTTCTTTGCTCACGCACATTTCAACAAAGTTATGTAATCATAATTATTTTTTCAACATCTAAAACCTCAATATATGGGTAACATTAAAACCTCCGAAGGGAGATAAACTAAAAAGACATATGATTCAAATTTTAATCTATATTATTTGATAAATCTTTAAAGAATAGTAATAAAAGCCTATATGTTTCAGAAAAAATCTTAAATACTAAATCTTCAAGGGCTATGTGTCTTTATGAAAACTAAAAAACAAGCACGATAACTTGTGAAATTGAATTGATAAAATTATAAAATTGGAATACAATTTAAGGTGATTTATTGAATAATAATTGAGGACTTTTATGAAGAATTTTTTTTCTTTTATTGAGTTAGTTGTATGTACGAAAACTTCATTTTATGTGTTTGACCTGGTTAACGGTGATAAACCATCTGATGGTAATGACATGTCGATATGACTCCAAAAGGCCGAGGTCAGACGTGAAAGACGAAGCGATGTCGAGGTCGAAGTGGCTCAACAGAGGACGAGGATGAGGATGAACATCCGTCTTCATACGATGTGATGACCAGTTTTAGGGTTTAGATTCCCTAGAGAATATTTTATTGGATATTCCTTTCTGTTGTACTATCTAGGATTTTGTGGCCCATGTGCTTTTATAAATAGAAAAAGTGGTAGATCTGAGAGGGGATTGGACCTTTTTGTAAAGAAATTCATCAACATTCTCTATACAAGATTCCTACTTTATTAAATAGAAACAAAGCTTGATTTTACACTTTCCTCCTTTTATTCCTCTTTCCCTATCCAAGAAGAATTGGAATACACGATTGTTTATCCCATCATTGTAAGAAAAGGCTTCTGAGAATCTCATCCTTGTCGGGTGATCTTTGTCTCATTTACTATTTAGAAGTCATTTATTCTCATTTATTACTATCCTTTATACTTCTAGGTCTTTATCACTTTATTATTATCTAAAGTTATTAGATAAGTACTTTAACATACTTATCATAAAGCGTTAGATCTGTCATTGAATATTAATATTGACTACTCCTATGATTAATCCCAATTTTCTAATAATTTAATTGTATAAAACCAAATCTATTTTTGGGTCATACATTAGTTATATAGGATTAATATTCATCAATTTCAGAAACTTACACTTTATTTTATAACTCAATATAATTTTAAAAACAAGATGTAATTTTCTTAAAAAAAATTACTATTGGGATAGGATGCGCGTACTTAGTTGTACACACACACACACACACACACATATATATATATATATATATATATAAATATCTTCTTCATCGTGAAACATAAAGCCATTCTCTCATTTCCAGAAAATGAATATATGGTAATTGCATTTCCATTGCATTGAATGGAGATTTAGGTGTGGTTGTTTTCATATGCGCTTCCTAATTGTTCTTGGGAAAACTATGTAAAGAGTTATTCTTAGTTTAAAAATGTGGTAAGATGTTTAACTTTTATTTCAGAGCATCTATAGAGCTTGTTTTTGTGATATTACTCTGAATGGTTGTAGTTTAATTTATGCAATTCATTCTTTTTTAACCAATTTCAGTAGTATGGTTCATATACATGAGATGCAACGATAATGGATCTGGTTCCGTCATATGTTTAGTGTCACCTTTGTTTGGCCAATATTCATATTGTCTTTCTTTTTTTCTTTTTTTGGTTTTTATGCTTTATTTTTCCTTTTCATTTGGTTGTTTGACATTATAAAACTCGAAAAAAATTATTTCTTCACACAAATAAATTAAGACTACTAAATGTTGTGGGCAAGAATAGACATAACAAGTTGGTAAATTTTTCCACATAGAATACTTATTTTTAACTAAATTATGTAAGCAGAAATTAAAAAAATTTTCGTCGATTTAGTTGCTTTCTCATTGAAGGCACATGAATGTTTGCATTCTCATTGAAGGCACATGAATGTTTGCATGAGGCAAGGCTTTCAGGTCGTGAATGAATTCTTCAGCAAGGTGGTATGTCATATGTTCTTATGTCTCTTTCTCATATCTATTTGTAATTTTGTCCTGTGGGCTATGGTGCTTTTCTCTTTTGTTGTTTTCATTTTTCAAGCTTAGAACTGCTCCTATATCTATTACTATATGATTGTCTTGAATTTCAAGGTAGTCTTATATCTATTTCGAAAAAGATTCAGAATTCAGAATGATGATTACCTGGAGTAACAAAAGCATTTGTTACGTTAAATTGGATGATAGATGGGATCTAATAAAAAAAGGAAAAAAGTGAAAGGAAAAACAAAAATAAAAATAAAAAGAGACAAGTCAGGAAAAGGGAGGAAGAAATGCGAAAGAAAGACAAAATTGCATCAGTTACATGTTGACTTCATAATTTTCTTTTCCTCTTACTCAATATAAGTTACTACTTATATTTTTATTTTTTTTTTACTATAATACTAAAGCACATCTTCTCTTTTTTTTGTCACTTTCTCTCTTCTTCTTCATTGACCAATGACCATTCTTCTCTTTTTTATTAGAAATTCTTTGTACATAATTTTTTTTGTCTTTTTCTTCTTATTGTTGGTGCTTTTGTCACAATTATTCTTTCAAACATGATATATATACATACACTTTGCTACTCTTTTAGTATGTTGCAGGCTTATAGTTAATAGTGTGAATTTATATGTAGTGGGTAATAACTTTACCTTTTTGTCTTGCATTAAAATGCTCTTTTTAAAAAAAATAAAAATAGGAGTGATTATAATAAATTGTACATTGAATTTGATTATTGCTTCATTATTTTAGGAAGAATTAAGAAAGTATGATTACATGCTCAAAGTAAATGACAATAAGATTATTTCCTGGTATTTTTTAGTGGCCTTTTGACAGTTTTAAAGAGATTATCTCGCCAATTTCTTCAAATGTATTACGCTTCTCTGTGTGGTTTACAACTATGTTCTCTTAAGCCGTATTTTTCTTGACTTCCTCTCTATTAATTTAGAAGATAGTTGTGTTGTAATGCCATCTGATTAATCAAAAGATATTGATTATTGAAATTTTTATAAGATTAGTAGGGGAAAAGAGTAATTAATTTGATTATTCAAGAAAGGATAACGGCTTCTCATTTGCTTGAGGGCTTGAATATGAGAAAGAAAAGAAAAGAAGAAAAAAGAAAAAGAAAATAACACTTGAGAAATATTCGGACATTCAATTATGCATTTTATTGACATGTGATTTTCGTAAATTAAAAAAAAATGTCAGTGAAATAAGAGGAAGATGGAGAATTATAACTAAGATTAACGAAAAAGTAACTATTGTATCTCTTAGTGTATCACATAAATCATGAACATTATGAGGAAAAGTTGATCAAGAGGGAAAGAGTTGATTAATTTAGGGAAGGATAATGGTAGTTTCTAATTTACAGAAGAATAGAAAAACATGAATATAATAGAGAAAAGAAAAGAATAAAATAAGAAGATTAGAAAAGGTAAAGAAAAGGAAAAGAGAGCGAGGAAAGGTGAGACTATAAATAGTAGTTTGAATGAATATGCATAAGGAAGTGATAGGATTACATGACAGAAAATTAGCAAGATGGAAAAGACACAAAAAAATATAAGGAAAGGAAGGGCCGATAAAGAGAAAAATTAACAAAGAAAAGGAATAAGGAAATTTAAAAAGTATCAAGGAGATAATGAGAATATGATCAAATGAAAAGTTTTTTGTTTTTGCTTGTCCTTTATAAAATATATAAAAGCGTGAAAATATAATCTTTTAAAAATATTTATTAGAAATCTTAATAACAAAATGAGACGAGAGGGTTATATTTAAGTGTCTATAAGTGTTCTTTTTTAACTATAAATGCTTAGAATTTTGAGACAAAGAAGTAGATCAAGAATAATTTCTATAAAATAATATTTGACTTAATTGTTTATTAGATAAAAATAATTTATTTTTATAATAAAATAACTGTTTCAATAACATTTTCTTAATTCAATTATTTATAAA